TCCAGAAAGTCCAATGGCACTTTAAGTTCTTTCCCAAACATCAGTGATGATGATGATGCGTTGCTTTAGTTCAAGTACTGCTGTTTGATAATTCATAAGTTGCAGTGGAAGACCCTGGTCCCACATTTTATGATGGTTACTAATATATTCAAAAATGAAGAACTGTAACTCTCCACCCCGCTGTCGTAAGATGGATGAAGGGCTATTTTCCTGGTCTTTTTATTGCAAAGAGTTGACACATTTCCACAAACAAGGCTCATTTAATTTTCCATCTCTGATAGCAGTGAAGTTCCATAGGCACCACACGTCTTGGAAGAAATTCATAAACGAGTTTCTTTGCTAGAGTTTCTGCTTCCTGGTTAGGAAATACATGTGCTTCTGACCATTTGGTGAAAGAGCCCATCACGACCACAGTGTATATATATTTCCACTGTTACTCTGTGGTAGAGGAATAAGCATAAGGACAGTAACTCTTTTAAGTGGTGCTACAATACAATACTTCTGTAGCTATCCACGCTTTTCTTATTTTTCCTAGTTTTTACACCAATTCTATAGAGATCCTGAACACACAACCCAATAGAAGCAATCTCTGATACTGTTTACAGTGTTTTCTTAAAGCCTAATTGTCCAGCCATTGTGGTGATGACAGATTGATTTGGAATGTAAAGACTATGGAAATACCAACCGTAGTTCTTGTTTCTGTTCACTGAAATCTTTCCATTTCCGTCATAACTAGCTCTCTTGTAGGCATAATGAATCCCAATGTGCCCAGTACATCTTTGTCTTCAGGTTATATAGAGTGAATGTGTATTGTGAGGGTTTTTCTGCACTATTACTGATCCACTGAGTAATGGGTTTTAAACTCGTATATTTCATCTGAGCATCTTTCAGTTGAGTGCTGGACCAAATTAGGCCTTCATCACCTCTTGTGAATGTCCCATCTTGGAATATACTCTCTTGTACTTTAGGTTGGTAGCCCTTACTATTTTGTGCTTCCCTCCTTTCACAGTGTTTACATTCTTTATTAATATTTTGTCTTTGGATAATGCTAAAGAATTTTCATGGTTCCATCAGGGAAATGCATGATGCTAAAGTTCTATTCCTGAAATGTCAAGAACAATCTTGTTATCTGGCCTTCCATATTCAAAAAGTCACTAGCCAGTTCAATGTTGCAGGATACGTCTGAAGTGTCAACTTTTGTCCATATGGATAATGATGTAAATAACTCGAATATCATATAGCATTTCTTTCCATAGGATACAAACCTCTTTTCTTCAGTACTTATTAACTTGTTATAGTACAGAATGACATACTCTTTTCCATGTTGTATTTGTGATAAAACTGCTGGTACTGCAAAACCACTAGCACCTGTATCTAAAATAAGTGATCTTCAAAAGCTAGGTATATTAACATAGGTAATGGTCAATTCTTTATTCAGTTTATTGAATGCTTGTTTACAATCAACGGTCTATAAAACTTATTTGATTTCTCAAGTCATTTGTATAAAGGATGAACTATGTCTGAGAATGATTTTGCAAAATGATAGCAGTAAGAGTATAGTCCAAAAAATCCTATTATCTTATGCAAGTTTTTTGTTGTTGGTCCACTGCTAAACAGATTCAGTTTTAGATAGGTCCACAGATGCTTCCTCTCTGATGACTATTTGTCTTAGAAAACTCACATGTTTACAGAAACATTCACACTTTGGGGGATTCAGCTTAAGATTTTCTTTCCTCAATCGATTCAGAACTGTCCTTAACTCATCATAAGCATTATCAGAGGTCTTTCTATGTGCAATTAAGTCAACCTAGTAGATTAAGGTAATTCAGAGAATACTCCATTAGTCACTGAAATGTAGAAGACACTTTACATGATCCAACAAACTCTCACATTCCTTATCCTGTAGCAAAGGCAGTCTTCTCTCTACTTGCTTTTTTGACTTGAAATTGCCAATATCAAATCTTAAGATCCAATGTTTAAAATCATTTTGATCCGTAGAGAACATACAAAATAGATTTATTCTTTGTCAGTGTGTAGTCTTCTACTTTTTCTTCGTTCATTTTTTTCTGTAGGCCATGCAGATTCTTGTTGATCTACCCTACTCTTCATACGTACAATAGGTGATGCACAGGGAATATTACTTGGTTTTATCAGTCCTTGTTCTTTTGTGGCTTTTATATCTTTGAAAGTTTCAATCTGTTCTGCAAGTAGGAGTAGTCTAGCCAACTGATATATTTGGGATGCGTCTCCACTATCAATATTATGAGATATTTTATTTGTTTAACCCAAGTCATGAGGTCTACTGGAAAAGGTATCTTGATATTCCATGAACAAGTCATGTAATCTTCGGCATTGATCAGCTGTTAGACCTCCACAGCTTTGGTCATACAACTCTTGTAAAAGAGGTGGTAAGCTGTTTTTATGTGAGGGTGAGACCTTTTATTTTTATAAAAATAATCCCCCTTTGACATCAGCGTTGGTAGATGTTCTATGATTGGGTGGGCTCTTTTAGATTATATGGTGAAAATATTGCTAAATCAGGTTTATGTAATATAAAGATTTATTAATTTCTTCAAAGAGTGAATAACCTTTGTTACTGGCTATGTAACCTAAAATATAACTGTTCAAATAACGTTTACAAGTAAACTTACTGGCAGAATTTCAATCACAGATTCACTAACCACTACTGTCCAGCTCAAACTGAAACACAAATACAATAAGTCTAACTATCTAAATGACGCTGAAGTAACTCAATTATTACTCAGTAATAAACTGATTACTTTTCTGATTTACTAATATTTATATTATACCCTTGTTTCTACATACTGCAAGAAATCTCTAAATTCACCGAAACTTTCAATATATTGCAAACAAACATCTGAATTAAAATATTAAAAATATAGCTTACAAAAGTATTTTTGATCATTTTTGTTTTGTTTTTTGCCGTTGAACTTTATGGCTCTTATAAGGAAACGACTTTTTATTTTTTATTAACAATGACATATATTCTTTTTTTCGTTTAAGATTAATCTCCAGTTTTTTGTCAGTCATTAAATTCAATTTATTTGATATTAATATAAAATTTAAATACTTGCAAATGTTCTTATTTTTATCATTAACTTTACAATTGCAAAGATTATCTGTTATTATTTAATATATGGATTTAGAGCTGACCGGAATTCCCTAACCTCAACAAATCTAGATATAACTATTATTGGGATTACAGCTTATAATATGATTAACAGTGTAGTAACATTGTTCTTTCATTGGGATAGTTCTTGTAAATTATTTGATGGAAATAATTCAAGGTCCACTCCACTTGCAACGATAAAAAAATAGTTTATTTCTTCCTTAACGTTTCTACAAGCTGCTTTCCCTTGTACACAGCTGTAATTTTACTGAAACTAAACATTTCACTGTTACTCTACTACAGAGAAAAAATTTAATGATTCACTGTAGGTCCATGGCTAATATATCCTCCAAGTGTAAAAGACAGTAAATCGTTCTTTAATGTATTTAATTCACTTTGAAATATACTAATCTTTTCCATTTGTACTTCTTGCCACTGTTGCTGACTTTCCTGTAGTTGCTGCTGACTTCTGTAGTTGGAGACTTCTTTCCTGTTTCTTTTCTCGTTCTTCTTGTTTCCTTTGTTGTTCCAGTTGCCACTGGTGCTGGTTTTCTTGCCACTGCTGTAGTCCCTCTTCTTGTTTCTTTTCTTTCTCCTTTAACCACTGCTGTAGTATCTCTCTCTTGTTCTTTTCTCGTTCTTCCTGTTTCTTTTCTTTTCCCTCCAATAACTACTGTAATCTCTCTTCTTGTTTTTTCTAGTTCTTCTTGTTTCTTTTGCTGCTCTTGTATTGCTGCCATCAAATTTGCTAAGCTGTAGGTTGATTTACCACTTCTCCTTTCCATTTTTTTCTTCTTTTCTATCCCACTCTCTGACACAAATTTGTTACGTATCTGCTTGTTTGATAATTTCCAGTATAAATTCTTTCCGAGGAACTTCAGCGATACAAGTCTCTTCTTAATTAAACCAGTTTATTCTTTCTCGATACAAACTTTTAGTACACAGTAATCCCACAGTCGGTATGTTTCTCGTCACTTTAAACTTAACAAATTTTATAATACACACTATAAATAACAGCGATTCACAATCTCGATAACGTTGCTCTCTACGAGTGCAAAACACACACTAGCTCGAAACAGAATCGTAAATTACCCGAAACTCACCGTAACTATTGTTCGCTTTATCATCCCTTGGCTTTTTCTGCCAGGCTTATATACTAACAAAGAGGCATCTCCAAAATTCAGTCACACATGCGCCAGCAGCGTCACGTGACTTCCGCTGTCGTAACAATATTATGCGATGAGAACAACATTAATAGAAAAAAATAAAAAGCATTAATTATTCGTAAACTAAAACCTAATTTAAATAAAAACACAGGTGTCACCGTATATGTTTTCTAAATTGGAATAAAATGCTCGCGCAGTATTTCACAAAATAGACAGTTACCTATTGATAACCATACAAGTGGTCAAAACGTTGTAAAAAGTTAAATAAAAATAAACAATCCTCTCAAAAACTGTATCTTTGGACTTTTATTTAAAGTGTACAGTGGATTTCATCTTCTCACGAGAAAATCAATTCCTATTTGAAGTATTAGCCCGAACGTTATATTACCTTTTAATATATTTTAATTTCACTACGTACTTAGTTTACAAATAGCCACGTTATGTTTACCCAAATAAAAATAACCAAAAATGTGCTATGAAAAGTTCTTATAAAGCAACGATTCTCTTAAAGATTTTCACGCACGAAAACAACTACCCAATAAACAAACATGATATCAAGTGTGTGTGTATAGAAGCGCACACACAGTATGTACTCCATACTTTTAACACTTTTTAAAGCTTTATCAACACCAGCTGAAAATGTCTTGAGCACACGGATCTTTTTTTACAAGACTATCGCGACCTCTCTCGGAGATTGTATAGATCAAATTCAATATGGCTCCAACACCTGGGCTGGAAAACGCAAATCCACTAATATTTGAGAAGTTAGAAGACAGGACATTCACTGGTGATGATTATAATGAATTAGTTACAGACGTAATTGATTCCAGAGAAGTGTTTGGTATCCTTTTTGTGCGCAACCAAAGTTATTCGTTAAAAACTAACCCTAAAAGTAGATAATTGAAATTAACAAACAAGTTCAAAATTTTTACCCTAGAAATTGCAAAATTACGTATTCACTAAGTCCAGTATAACTAAGCTACAATGCTTAAAACAGTAAGATCTGTGTTGATCAAAACTCAGTAATAAGGTTAATAAGACAGACAGTACCATTAAAGCACGAGTCCAGTAGGCAATTCTGCTGTATCGGGACTTGAGTCTGAGATTAATCTTAGTTTTTTACTAATACTATGGTCCTTATAAAAGCCAGAATGCTAGAAAAACTCGAGTGTAAAAAATTCATCATAAAGTGTAAGGTTTTAAATCAGTTATACATGCTTCTTGAATGATATTCTGAGGATATAAACTAGGATTAGAATTAACAGATATTTGTTAGAAAGTGAACTTTCAATAAAGCAAATGTTCAGTTTTTTGTGTATTTGCTTAAAACGTTATCATACATGGCTTAATCTAAATTCTAAGCCTCATTTGTTTTGTTTTTTAATATAGACACCTTGTGTGGGTGCCTAGATTATGAGTAGATAAGGCCCACAATGAGTATTCTTCCCAATTTGTTGGAAAATGAAAATAAAATGTATTTTTGGACTTGTTATTAATGTATGTTCATAGCTTCTTGAGGATTCTAATTATGGTTGGGTAAAAGATGTTTCAGCAAAACTAGTGTAACCATGTGTGAAAAAATAGTTACTGTACAAAGTGTATGATTTTGCTGAAATTTATTAGCCAAGAAAAGAAAATCAGCAAGTTAAACTTAAAATGTATTTAGTATTTATTTAAATGTGTTTTAAATTTTGAAATATTTTTATAATATATTATTTTTAGATTTTGACATTGGCAATGAAATCAAAGAAGACCTTTGTAAAAAAATAATAATACTTGACCCTAATATAAGTATTAAGTATATACAAATAAACAAAAAGTTTGGAGGGGCATGGCCTAAGATACTTTTTTAAAACAAGGCTTCAGATATGAACCTGTATGGTTGCTATCTGCTTCTTTACAATATTTTCTCCATTTTATTTTGCTAAACGTTGCCTAAAACAAAAACTTGTATTCAGCTGTATTACTGTAATAGCACAGAAACCCAGTTTAAAGCATTGGTCTATAAGTAGTGTATTGTAAAGAAAAATTAGACCTTGAATTTCCAGTTGTTGTTGTTTTTTTTTGCAAGATATTTGGAATTAAAAATGTTTAAATAAGCTGTTATGTTTTCTTTTCCAGAATATATAACTTTGGCATTTGCTTTTATTCTGTTCAAAAATTTCTGTGGCTTGCGCTTTCAAACTTAATTTATCTCATGTTTTGCCAGTGTTTTCATGTCTAAAAAAGCTCAAATATATATTAATTCTAATTTTTCAAATTTGTTGTTTTCAGTGAATAGGCCTTGTTAAATAAGGTGTTTTAGAAGGCAAGTAGTGGTTTGGTGGTCATATCGTATTTTACATTTGTTTGATTTATTTAAAATATAAAATGTGAAAACTAAACAATAATTTAGTTTTTTCACTTAACTATGCTATACCTAATAAGAAAAATATATGATCCAGAACATCCACTTACTTTGGAACAGTTGAATGTTGTGGAAGAAAGTAGAGTCACGGTAAGATAATTTTCTCTCATTGTTACTTTTTATCTCATTTATTCTTGCAAATCTTACTAGTTAGTCAAAATTAATTGCTAATTCAAAAACTGTTAAAAGTAAAGATGATTAGTATATGAAAACAGAATGCATAAAAAAAACTTGCTGTTAAGAAAAATATTTAACCCATTTTGCTTTGTACTTATTTAATGAAGTGGGAAGTATCAACAAATGATACTGTAATAAGATGATGTTGATGCAATGTGATATTCCAAGTAATGTTTCTGGAATAAGCAGTGCATTTATCTTTTAGTTTAGCTTTAGTTTACATGAAGTATGATCTAGGAAGTTTTCTGTGGCTGTAACTCTTTCTAGAGTCAGTGGTGTAATCCACGTTTCATAAGTTTCCAGAATTTTACCTATGGAGTATACAGATTTATTCATAATTCATACATTGTTGGAGCATCACAATATCTGGAGGTTTTGTGGAAGATGATATACAAAGAAAAAATATTTATGACAGAGCCACTGAGTTGCATGCACCTTTTAGCCATCAAAGGATAGTTCAAGAATAACATCTACTATGATTCTGGCCTAGAAGAATTGTTCTTCTAATTTTGTTATAGTTGATCTTGGAATTGTCTCTCTTTTAGAGTAATTATTAGCATATGCAGTAGCTATTATACACTGTTACATTCATATTTGCCATACAGAAAATTAACTTAGTGCACTCTGCAAGTGTAAGCTTTGAAATTCTTAATATTTTTGATTCTGCTGCAAGTATCGAGGGAGTTGTTCAACTTTTTTGTACTTGAACAACTTTCTGGCAACCAAATGATACATTACTTTGCATATCACCATTTACATATATTTTAGTTTTCTAATGCTCTAATAATGTTTTGCAAATTATTGTTTCAAAATACGAAGAGATTGATAAATGTGTTGCCACAACAATGTTACAGTGAATATGTCAAAAGGTTCTACACTTGTTCACATAAACATTATATGAACTTCATAGAATATATTTATGACTGTTAAAGTACAAGCACAAGTAACATGATGGTTAATTTTATGCTTAAAAAGTAGTGATAGGTTTAACTACAGGAGCATGATACTGGTAGTGTTGCAATTTTGGTCTATATAGAGTCAGAAATCTAGGTTTCAGATGACTCACTGAAAATTGACTGGTTTGATGGGAGATTTAGAAGATTGTAGAATATCAAGAAAGTTGGTCAAACAGGAAATTAGGGCACCAAAAAGGGTGTATGAAAAAAGTTGACTGAAAATGTAAATACTAACAGTAAGGATTTCTTTAAATACATAAAAGGTAAAGAAAATGTTAGATGGGGGGGTAGGATCTTTGACAGATGATAAAGGAAGACTAGTATTTGAGGATTGAGATGGCTGGGTTATTAAGTTCAGCTTTTTATGCAGTTTTTACTAATGAAGATTTAAGCAATATTCCTCATCTTGAACAGGTGATGGAAACAAGATGATCACATTAATTCTGAGTTTGTTAAAAAAAAGAGATTGACAAGTTTAAAGAACAATAATGCTCCTGGGCCACATAATATTTCCCCAAGGGTTTGAAGGAGGTTAACAATTTGATATTTTCTACTATTTTTGTAAGTCCTTGAATGTTGGGCAGATGCCAGAGGAATGGAAGTTAGCTAATGTTACTTGTTTTTTCAAGAGAGGTGATTAAAATTGTCCCTGTAATTATAGGCCTATTAGTATTACATCAGTTGTGGGAAAAGTTTTGGAAAGTCTGATAAAAAAATGCTTTGCAAAGTTATTTAACAGAGTTTAGAATTTTATTGGATAGTCAACATGGTTTTACTAAGGAAAAATCTTACCTTACCAATCTTTTGACATTCTTTGAAAAGGTTACTGCTTATGTAGATGAGGGTAAGGGTATAGACTTGGAGTATCTGGAGTTTCAGAAAGCACTTGACAAGGTGCCACATAAAAGGATTGTAAAAAATTATATCTATAGGTGTGGGGGATAAGTTGGTTAATTGGATAGAAGAGTGGCTGGACAGGAGAAAGCAGAGAGTTGTTATAAATAGAGTTCAGTCATACTGGATTAATGGGGTACCTCAGAGCTCAGTCTTGGGACCATTGCTCTTTTTGATTTACATCAATGATACAGATGAAGAAATAGTCAATAAATTACTTAAATTTGCTGATGATATCAAGGTCTTTGGTGTTACTAGCTGTGAAGAGGATGCTGCTGATTTACAAAATGATTTAGTGAGTTAGGCAAATAAATGGCAGATGGATTTTAATTACAATAAATGCAAGATAATGCATGTGGGTTATCATAATTTGAATTATAAGTATAATTTAGATGTGAATAACCTTATCAGTGTTATGAAGGACAGGGATCTTGGTGTAACAGTCGACCAGTCTCTGAAACCATCCAAGCAGTGTGCTATTACCAGTGGTAGGGCAAATAGGATTTTAGGTTGTATCTACATAAATATTGAATACAAGTCTAAAGAGGTTATAATTTCATTGTACAGGTCACTGATTAGGCCATAATTTGGAATATTGTGTTCAGTCTTGGGCTCCTTACCTAAGAAAATACATTGAATTATTGGAAATGATTCAAAGAAGAGTTACTAGAATGGTGACTGGGATGGAAGGGTTGTCATACGAGGAGAAGTTGAAATCTCTAAAATTGTTTCTCTTGAAAAAAAGAAGAGTTAGGTGTACTGATTGAGGTGTTTAAGATTGTAAAGGTAATTGATAGTGTTGATGCATCATCTTTTTTGATACTTAACAGTGAGAATAGTATGATAAGGGGACATAAGTATATATTTTGGCAAGGTAGGAATCATCTTCAGCTAACAGGGTGGTTGGCTTCTGGAATGGGTTGCCTTTGAATATTGTGGAGACAGTAAACTTAAATGAATTAAGAGAAAGCTTGGTAAGTATATGGATAATTAGGGGTAGCTTTGAGGTTTTTTTCTTTTTAATACTTTTAGTTCAGTTTAGAGAATGGGACAGCCTAGATGGGCCAAGAGGTCCCTTGTTTTCCCTAAACATCATGTTAAAGCCTAACAATTTGAGTGTGGTGCATAACTCACACTATTGAAAGATATAACATTTAAGAAAAAAAACCTTATAATTTTGGTTATTAGAAACTGCCAAAGATTTAAATTACTTAAAAAAGAATAAGTGTTTGATAAGTTGAGCTTTTATACTTCAAAACTTTGAGAATTACTGTAATCCAATGTAGGTTAATAGTTGTGGTAGACTTGTTAGCTTACTATTGTTGGGAATAACCTTTGGCTTATAAATCTGAATATTGCCACTAAGAAAGGAATGAAGTTTTCAGTGAACAGTAAAATAACATTTCTCTTTTCTATTGTTAAAGGAACAAAACTGGATCATTAAATCAGTCTCTGAAGTCATGGGGTTTTTCCCAGACATTAACGGGTCTTATATACAGTTTGTTATAATCTTAAATGTGATTCAAATTCATTTAATATTTTTTTACTGAATTAATATAAATGACATATCATTTGATTATAAAATTCTTTTAATTTTTAAATATAAATACTAACATAACACATAATATCTACCAGTTTTAAACAGCTGCAATTCATTCATATCAGTTTAATTTATTTAAAGATAAAACACCTATTTTTTTCATGTGGGACAAGTTTCATTTTGCACCTACTGCAAAGTTTAACTGATGTAGCACTAAGAAGTGAGAAGGGTAAAGTAAAATTAAGTTTCCATATAGAACATCTTGAGCCATAATTATATAATTGTTACATAATGATTTGCATAAGTTTTATTTTTATTAATGGATAATTGTAAATATTAATTAAGTAATTCTGGTGGATAAAAAGTTATTTTTAGTATATTGAATTTGTTGGGCTTTCACAAACAAATCTTGACCAGTTTCTAAGACTTATGAATATCTTCCTCACTCACCCCTCAAAATAAAATTATGAGAAATGTCACTGATATGATTATCCAAAAATCTTGTTTTTGATCTCACCAAAGAGTCTACCTTCAACCAATGGAAATTGTTTGGCTTTGGCTGCTAGATGCATGTATAAAACATGGAATGCCATTTTCCAATAAAAATATTTACCAATTAAAAATCATGCTTGCATGTTTTTTTATTTAAAAATCAACTTCTTAATTTAGAGAAAGGAATATTTCAATGCTGCCCTTTTGTTAACATTTTACTCTTGGTGTAATATCTCAAAGTGAAAAAACTTCTGGACAATTCTCGTTTGACATTTTTATTATTTTGAATGTTATGCAGGAATGAAACTTTTATATAGGAGTTTTTCATATAGGATCATGTACAGCCAGTCCACCCTAATTTTATTTCAGAAAAAATTTTAGTCAACAATTACTTCTTTTAGTCCTGTTTGTCTTTTCATAGCCACAATATGTATCAGCCAAAATTTCAACATTTGCATACAGTGAGCAAATATAATGACTTATATTTTGGATTTTATTTAATGCTCATGTAACGTACACAAAATGGCACTAATAACCCAATTTGCATAGTTATTGAGTACTAGCAGTGCAGTCATTAACAATACAGAAATCCTCAATTGCTTTATATGTGGATTCGACTAGACACTATGAATTATCGTAATTTTCCAAATATAATATGCATTTTTTTTACTATTATATGGCAATGAATCTAAACGTTGTTTTTTTTTACAGCCAGTCCAGACTATCTTTTCCTACACCCATTGTGAATGATAATGCATACTTACTAGAAATGTTGCATTTCAATGGTATGTCTTATTAATCCTCACTGTTTCTAAGGCATAACTGAAAATTGTCTCCCATTTTCAGTATCCTTAAACATGATTTTTGAAATCAAGTGATCAAGAAGCTAAGTCTTGTGATTTTTAAAATTTATTTATATGCACCCTTAGAAACATTTGAATATACAAAACTAGTTATTGCTACATTGTTTGATGTTCAAAAATACAAATCATTTTCAGTGAAACCTTCAAACTCTGCATCTGAACCACTGTCCTCGAATCGTTGGCACAACATCCCTACATAGCAAATGCTAAAGCAAACTTGTATTTAGTGATTTTACAGATACTATAACCTTTTGACAATGTTTATTTGACACCTGTGATTGCAAAGATAGCAAGCACTATTGTGAATGTGCAATTAATGATTATATGGACAGTGACATGCTTATCATCAAAGGGTTACTTAGACCACAGTATTGCAAAAGCCTAGGTGCATATTATTTATGGTAAAGCAAATTTGACTCTTTGTTTGTGAAAGTTAGAGTGCTTATTATATTTGGAAAATTACAGTATTGTTCAGGTCTGTGGAAGACATTATTTATTGACAGTTCAGTTATTTATTTGACTTTTGTCAAAGATATTTACTGCTGACTTTAAGTAGTGATGATCAAAATGTAGGGTTTTGCCAAAAATCTCATTATGTTGTTTTTTCTTCACCGTATTAGCCTAACTAATAGTTTTTGGCATAGTAGCCAATAGTGTGGGTGAACACTGATAATGCATTTGTTTATATAAAACTGGAAGTTTTGCAGATCTTGAACTATTCTTTTCAGAATTTTTAAACTAAAATTTAAGCAACTGAATGGACATGTATAGAATTATCCTATAATTATTAGAGTTTAATAGTATATTGATAGTGAAGTATATTGTAGCATCACCTTTCATTCAAATAAGAAATGGATTATAAAGCTAAAATGGAGCTAAGAGCAAAATTCAAAAGTCAATCTATCTTTATTGATGTGAATTCCAAAACTTTAATCTTAAAATGTTCAGTAACTTTGATTAAATCTATATGGATAATCTGTTAAGTTTGGAGTTATCAGTACATATCAAAATAAAAGGAGGAATTACTTGAATAATACGAACAATTTTCACCCATAGATATTTCATTCGAATAAAACTTGTCCATAGAATAACTTTTGAAAATTTGCATGTTTGAAAGCATATACACGAAAAAGTGTTATGTATTAGAATTTCAAATAGTCCGAAGCCGACTTAAATAATTTAAATTTAGTAGTTAAATTGTACTTTGGATTTAGTATTTAAATATATACAGATATATTAGTCAATATATATTAAACAAAAGTTTCTCAAACTTACAAACAATATAAAGTGTACTTTCTAGTCTGGAACTTCCTTGATATCTTATCGAGAGTTTACGATGAGTGAATTGATGTAAGTACAATTCGCTGGGAAGCTAGCTAGTTTTGTCCTTGGCCACATACACTAGGTTTTCCATGATTAATTTATACGTCTTTGTAAAATTACTAATTTCCGATGAGAATCCACTGAAGTTAAATGATTTGTAACATTGGAAATTTATAAATCTTCCTGGTCAGATATCTTAAGTTTTCCAATTGATAAGTTTTATAGCACACCGATTATAGCGAACTACTAATAGATACTCTCTTAGTGCATTATATTATATTTATAGCCATAGGAACGTTTTCTAGAAAATTCAGTCTTGCGTAATAATACTAGTTTTTATGTATATAGATATATTGTTGATTCCTACTCTCGAGAATCTTCTACAACTCTGGAGAATAGGCGAGAGTTTTGCAATACATATCTAATGCTATAAGCTAGGCATGTTTTTAAATATAAACTCAATTCAAACAAACGTTGACTTTAAAATAAATATGTAACAACAAATTCGTTACAAAAGGTAAAGAAAAAAAACTCAATATATGAGCAAAAAGAACTGAACAATGGTCCAGTTAGTGATCAAAATCTGTGAATGTACTGTTACTTGCAGTTGATGCAGTAACTATACTTAGTTAATTAGGAGAAGTTTTTCCTTTTGTTAAAATGTAAATGTGTTAAAGAGTTAAACTTTTAAATGATCTTTATGTCAACTAATTGTTAAAAATGTTTGTTTTTTTCAGGAAAATGATGCTGAGAATGAAGTTGTTATTGTGTTTGTTCTTACTATACCTGTTGTATAAGTTATTGATTTTCTGTTTCTTACAGGTAAATGATGCTGAGAATGAAGTTGTTATTGAGTTTACACCTACTATACCCCACTGTAGTATGGCTACATTGATTGGTTTAGCAATTCGAGTCAAACTCTTAAGGGCACTTCCTCCAAGATTCAAGGTGAATATAACGCCATGAAACTTAAAATTTTAACTACTATGAATCTGTGATATGTATTACATTCTGTTGACACCTTAAAGGAAGTTGCATTGTTGTTGTGATGTCTAATTTACATACAGAGATGAGTAAATTGTATTATAATGATTTTTAATATGCAAATCTACAAGTTATGTGACATCTAAAAGTTCTACAAAATCATGGTGGAGTAGAATGTATAAGAACTACATTTTGATCTTATTTGATATTTCTTAGTTAGTGTGATGCCACTGAAAAATTGATTGTTTTTTTGAAGGGTAAGAAACAGCCCTTTCCATTGCAAAATATGCACACACACACACTAATTATAAAGATGTGGTCAGGTCAAAAGTTAGAATTTTTTAATTAATGGCATTGGAAAACAAAGGAATATGGATCAATTTTGGGATCCAGGATCACCCAGTAAGAAACCTGTAACAAGTTGTACCCATCTATGGTAAGTAAAGTGCAGTGTATTGTAACAGTGGCAAAAGCTGTTCACACTACCTATGCTAAAATATGCTACATAATCAAGAAGGATCTACATCACTTGTGTTACTTTTCCAAACTGAGATCCTTCTTGATACATAGTTTGCTTCAGTGACATATTAGTTCAACCATTGCATACCTCTAGCACCTGAAGAATGAAATTGTTGTTCATGCTATTCCATAAGAAGACATACCAGTCAACTCACCAGGTGCAGCACCTATAGATTTCTGTGGGATTGTACTGTTGAAGTGGGCACTGGAAAACTGTCGTTCTTCTACACTACATGGATTATTGGAAGCAAACAAAGAGGTTTTATGTATTTTGTTAATGACAGCCTTATGATGGAGCCTTTTTGCAATGAAAACCATGCTGTAAGCTTGTTTTCAGATACAGAATGGCTAGACATGGTGACACGGACTGTAATGATGTGGTGAGGTTCCAAAATTATTTTAATATAAAGAACTAAACCCTTTGCAGTCAACATCAACTTGGTAATTTTCTAGTTAGAGGCAAAAATCACAGCTGAAAGTAAAATAAACAGACTTGTTTTAGAGGACTTTCAAGTTAAGTAAATAATATTATATTTGAAATTTTTCTAGAGAATAGAAAATAGTCCAAGACTCCAGTTTTTATTTGGTGGTTTGGTGTATTTGTAGAATACAGGTGTCCTAGTTTTGTTGAATTGAAGGTCTTAGTTGTAATTTAGGTTGGGTCTGTTGAATTTTAATGGAAGGTTATTTTAACTTAATTTTACAAATTTGTGTAATACTAGGGATTTGTTGTTGATTTTAACTGATGCTTTGCCCTTGTTATTGTTATGTCCTCCTAGAGTACATTCTTCAGGCTATAGGAAATAACCCTATTGTTTTTGGCGATCTTTTATTTTTTAATGTAAATCTTCCAGTTTCTCTAATAAATGAATCTGATGGAAAAGGAAACTTTGAAGATACATTTTTTCCCCTTTCTTTACAAGTTGTTTACTTTAAGGTTTTTGCGAGGCTTGAAGTAAACTGTAATCTGCAACTTGCTTAACTCTAGTATTTGTGATAGTGATGTTGTAGTAGTATTTTTCTGTGGTTTTGCAGGGTTGTTATTTCTGCCAGAGTCACTTGGATGAAATGGGTGTGTAGCCATTGGTGTGGAAAGTCATGGCTGTATATGTTATTTTCTTTGGGTTTTGTAGCCGATTTATCGGCACTGTTGAAGAGTCAATTAAGAATTCTACATTCGATGGAGTGGTTAGATTTGAAGTGTAAATATCTGAAGAAGTGTGTGGATTTTATGTGAACAAAAGCAGAATTATCAAGCAATAATCTGTATCTGAGGGTGTCTAGGAAATGCTAGGTCATGTTTTCTTCAGTCTGCATTATGAATTAGATATTTTTGTGGTGGCAGACCTTTATTCTCAAAATCTCCCTTTTTTCTCTATAAATATCAATGAGGGTTGGGAAGAGTAGTGAGTTTATAGGAAAGTCATAAGTTTGTGTGTAGATGATATCTTGGATCTAGTAATATGCATTTTTATACAGTGTGATAGAAGTTGTAAAGATGGTGGATATGAGAACTGTATGTGGTGTGTGTGTGTGTCTGTATAACTTAAATATTTTGGATGATTCCTCACAAAGATTTCGTAATTAGTGCAAAGTAAAATTCAAATAAATGTATAATTATTAAACACATAACAGATGCAAAGCAGGAAGCCCATTTATTGGATTATTTGAAAATAAGTGAAAAAAGTCAGTTGTGTCTATACTACTAAAACTACTGATTATAATATGAATGCCAGGCCATAGGTTATGATCTTAGTTACTCCTAGTAATGATACTTTCATTACTATAGCTGTAAATAAAAGTTGATTTTTCATAAAATATAAAAATGTTGAGTGTTTACATTAGAACATAACTCTATTTTAACATGATTTTGTGCATCTGATTTCTACTGTGTATTATTCTGTGCTTCCAATTATTCTACAAAGTAGCTGCGTTACAAAAGATGTATATGTATTCCTTTAATACTTGCTATGACACATAAATATATATATATTTATATAGATGGAAATTTATCATAAAGAACTGAGTCATAATCAGTAGACACTAATTAATATTCTTGTTTATGGATTACATCTTGGTTAAGATTTACTATGAAATTCATACACAATTATTGTTTCCTTTGCAGGTGGATGTATGTATTACACCAGGGACTCATGCATCAGAAGATGCAGGTAAGAAGCACTGTTATTTCATTAATTTGTACATGCAGTAATTAACTAACATCATACTTCCATTTTCTTTCAGTAAGATGGCCATTTATTAACACTCTCCATAAAACCAGGTTGACGAGTGCATGCCATGACCTTGTATAGTGTTACATTCAAAATTTAACAACATTATTATTTATGTATGAGAGTAAACATAACATGAAAATGCAGTTTATAATATTTCATTCATATTTTTAATGTTACCTAAGCTTTAACTTCTTAATTTCAAAAAGAAATAAAAAAAAAATCTCAATCTTCTTTTTTTTGTGTCATGATGTGCCTGAGCTCTGATTTTTCCACATCTGAGTTTTTAATTTCTTAAATAGGCTACTGCAGTTTCCAACTAATTAGAAACACAAACTGTGCTATATTACAAGCAAGAATCTAAAATTTTGAACCTTTTCTTGATTTGTTGAGGTATCAATAAATTTCAAGCCCACCAGAAAAGTTTTTCCTCTCTCTCTAAATTTTAATATTGTTTGCTAATCAACTTTAAAAGGCTGTAAGGCACGTTTAAATCCAATAAAAAGAGCAGATTATCCTTTACATAAATCTTGCAATTCTGCATTTAGCTTTGTTCTCATAAGCCATTACTCAAGCAGATTTACTTGGTTTGTATTAATTAATTTGGTGCTCTGAACAGTAACTGAATTTTTTAAAACTATTTATAGCTTATGAAGAAAGCTGAATAAATTATAGTAGTTCTGGGACATTCTATTCTACTGATTGATGAATTTCTTATACAGTATCTTGCCTCTTCTTACAAAAAGCTTTTCTCAATTCATACTGTCCTCTATCAATGCAAATTTTCACTCGCCACTAGCCTTGTTACTCTCATTTACCCTCACGCTTGTTAACATGAGATATCTGCATATTAATATGCAAATAATTATGCAGCAACCGTCCACCAGTAGGGTTGCGACACTACCCCTATCGTAACTAGTACCCTCTCTAATCTTGCAGTTGTTAACCACTTCTTGATTGGCAGTCTTATTGCACAGATGCATTTGTCACCTTTTTACAGATACTTCTTTTTCAAGATGCAAGGAGGATATCTCAACTCTCAGAAGGTTTGAGGGAAATGGACTCTCTACGAGTCCTCTCTTCATATCAGTATTGATTAGATCTCCTTGCATTAGACTTACATTAGACTTGCATTAGACTTACTTCACTTCCTGCGGGCTTTTTGGGGGCTAATTGGTGATGGTACACTCCGACAATTCTACAGTAGTCTGGTACATCTCCAGGCTAAGGTACACTTGGTCAAGCGACCTCTGTTTTCAAATGTTGGATCTCCATTATTGGGCCCACAGACATCACGTTACTTTGTTGGCTTGTCTTCTTCCAGTTGTATCTACATGGATTGGTTATCCCTTCCCGATAATATTCTACCTACACATTGGTTTTTGGATACTCAAGTGTTTTCAAGTGCTGTGATCTCAGTGTCCCAGATTTGGATGCTTTTGCTACTCATTTCAATACACAGCTTCCCTGATATTTGTTTCTAATTCTTCATCCTTTGGCTGTGGCAGAAGATGCTTTCAGTAGGGATTAGACAAAATTGTACCTACATGCATATTCTACTATTCATCTCCTCCTACATGTCCTTGCCATAATTCATAACACTCCACGTCATGTTCTGTTGGTGGCTCTGTATTGGCTGACTCAAACTTGGTTTCCATAGCTTTACTGGCTTTTGGTGTTGCCCCCACCTTCCCCTTCCTTTATCTCCAACACTCCTACTTCAACCCCAAATCAGGCATGCATCATCTGTTCATTCCCACACTTCATCTTCACGTGTGGCTTTTATCTTATCCTTGACCAGAAGGGCTTGACTTTCTTATTATGTGGTTTTCTTACTTTCCTGTCCTCTCCATCCTTCCTCCATGGCAGTTTACCAACATATGTGGTACACGTACCACTGTTGGTCTGTCCAAAGTGATGATCATCCTAACGATCCTCATGTCATGTCCATTTTTGACATAGGCCTTTCAGTTTTCTTTGTTGAGGGCTATCAGCCAACTTTATCAGCCATGTTTTAGGTTTCCCAATATGCTCATGTCTTCATGTTGCCAGTCTTGTCTATGTTGTTTCATTCTGTCTGCATTTCCCATCCTCCTTGCCCAGTTTCACTCCCTAATTGGAATCTCAATTGTAGTCCTGCATGCTCTTAACTAACCCCCTTTTGAACATTTGTCTTCAGGATTTTTATATCAACTGTTTTGAAGTACCATTTTTCTTGCTCGTATTGGCGTGCAGACATAGTAGTTCAGTTGTGTTCGTGATTGATGTCCATCACGTTTTTGTTTTGTAGTTTCTATGTTCTCCTTTTCCACATTATTACTTTCTACCCAAACAAATAGGCTGCTCGAGAGAGTAATTCTGCATTCACACAAGGTGATGGCTCTCTGATGGTATATTACATGCACTGCTCCCTTCTATGGTTTCTGTTTCTGTTTGTTTATTCCTTGGACTCCTAACCGCTCCTGTGACCTTTCTCCTATTACAGGTTGTATTTGTCAGTTGATTCACCTGGCGTGATCTTCCTGACTATTGTCATCTTTATATTGTTCCTTCCTCTCAGATCTGTTACCTTACCTTGTCTCTGGCTGCACATTTCTATTTTCCTTTGGGGTACATCATCAGTGACAGTGTGTGCCCCACTCTGCATTCCTTTGCACTTCTGTTTCTCAGTGAGTGGAAAATACTCCATTCATCTTCTTTTGTTTGCAGGGGCCTTTCTTCCATGTTTGGATCCCACTCAGTGGCAAGTGTTATCTGACCAGGTATACTTAGTCTTAAATCTGCACTGTGCTCTTAGAATATCTCAGATGATATGTGGCATTGAGGTTCTTTCTACCACAGATCTGATGTACAATTCCAGATGCTGCCAGGTGTTGGTTGATTGATTCCATCAACATGATGCTTTTCAAAATACAATGTAATATAACCAGGTTATATTACACCCATCATTGAGATGTGATGTTCTGCAGGACCACTAGTAGGTATACTTTGCAGTATTTTGCTTCATAAATATGTTTGTCCTGGACTAACATGAGTAAAGCAGAGAGAGATTACTGCCCATCTCTGATGATCTGTGGCATTTTAGGCTTTTCCTAGTGTGGACCTGATGTATTATTACAGATGCCATCAGCTGTTGGTTGATTGACTCTGTCACTATGATCACTCTGCTTTTCAAAATAGGGTATCGCAGCCACCCATTGCACTGTCTCTAGTGCTGCGGTTGTCCAGACTCTCCAAATCACTGTTTCCCTCCTTCTTCTAGTGGAGTATGGGAGTCCTAGCCTATTCTCCTGAGAGTGCACAATACCTCTCAGATGAGAGTAGGGCAGTGGCATTCGGCCAGTGTAGAGGGCATGACACCATTCCTACTACAGACCTGATGTACAATTCCAGATGCTGCTAAGTGTTGGATGTAGCACTCTGCCATATAATGCAATTTGCCCCTCTGGCTGAGGCAACCTCCTTTCTACTGTCTGGTGTTGGTTGGGGTCAGTCCAGTCACATAAGTCCTCACATGTAATTGGATGGTTATGCTCCTCCTACTTACTCTGGATGATAAATTCTCAGTGCTGCCAGGTTTTGGACTGGAGATGCAACTCCAAATAACAGTCCTTCTTCCTACTGTTTACTGGATGTCAGTTTCTGGTGGATCTGGTGCTAGTTGCAGCTGGACGAGACGTGTGAATTCCCACAAATATAAGGCTGGATACCTTCCTTGTACCATAGACTGGACAAAAAATTCTCAATGCCACGAGGTTTTGGACAGGAGATGGACACCCACCTGGTCCCTCCACCTTCCTACCATCTACTGGATGTTGGTTCTGGTGTTGGAGGTGTGCACATGTGGTGGTGGGTTTTTGGTATGGAAGCTCGCTCCTCTTCCCTGCTGGCACACAGTTTTTAGATGAAAGGTAAAGGATCCTCTTCATACTGTTGACCTGATGTACAATTTCAGATGCCACCAAGGGTTGCTTGAGGTCAAACTCCCAATTATGGTCTGTTGTGCCCAAGCCACTCTACACCAAGGGGTCCCTTTATTTTTGTAACTTCTCATAGGGTCCCTCTTTTGTTTTCACCCTTTTGGCGACATATTACTGATGCGCAAAAAGGTGGTGCAGTCTCCCACAGGTGTGTTGTTTTAATTCATTTTCACATCCCATCATTTCTAAAGGGAGATCATCTTCTCCACCGGTTCCATGTGGGATTCTAGCTTTTTTGTGAGTAGAGGTAAGATATCATATAAGAAGTTAACATTTTCCTAAACTGAAAATGTATTTCTGATAGCTACTTGCTTTCTCTCACGTTTCCCACCCATCCTACCCAAGTGTGATTTGGTTTGATCTGACCAATCTTGAAATGGTTAACAACTGCAACATTAGAGAAGGTGCTAGTTATGATAGGGGTAGTGTCACATTCCTATTGGTGAAAGTTTGCTGCAGAATCATTTGCATATTAGTATGCAGATATCTCACATTAACATACATGAGGGTAAGTGGTAGTATCAAGGCTAGTGGTGAGTGAAAATTTACACCGATAGAGGGCAGTATAAATTGAGAAAAGCTTTATGTGACAGGAGGTAAGTATCTATAAGAAATACATTTTCAGTGTAGGAAAACATTAACTTTTTTGTGTTCTGAGATGGATGTTTGAAAACTACATAATTTTTTGGTCACAGAAATGTGTGAGACTCAATGAGGTTTAGAGAAAATGCAGGAGTACTACAAATCCTTGTTTTTATGTGTATTTTGTATTTAATGTTACATAAGTGACTAAAATGTAAAAATGATAAACTTTTCAGCTTATCCTAACAATATTTCAGTAAAATAAAACATCTAAAATTTCACTAAGCCATGCATGGGGTGAAACATGACACTTGGATTATATGCTGTTTATGTTAGCTCTATGGAAACAACTAATGGGCTCCTACTTTGACTTATTGCTTTTGATGTGATTAATATTGTTCCGGTGGGTACAGAGTACAGGAATAAAACCATAAAATAAGAGAAAAGAGAAGTGAAAAGGTTAACAGTTGAAACTGTTAAGATAAGTAACTGGGAACTTCTTGATGAATACTGCAGTAATACAGAGGTAAAAATTTTATTATTCATCTTATTTTGGATTTTTCGACTATCCAGTGTACATTGGTGATTTCTCTACATATAGTGTTAGGGTAAAAAAAATAAGAGATAAAATATATATCATTACTGAAAAAAAACAACTTATTTATTATAAATTTATTTAAGAGGTTTTAGAGGTTATGCAAATTTAATATGAAACTGTAGGATGTAAGTCTTTTTGTTTTTTTAGTACCTAAATCACCTTTCACTCAGACTGATTCTGTAAAGGCTTTGGAAATGTATAGACAAATCTTTAGTAGAAATACTTTATTAGAAATTTTAATTCTGTGTACAACAGTCTTTTTAATGTGTTTAAAAGCTTGCCAAATTTTGATAAATTGAGAATTATAGTGTGTATAGTTTCACAGTTCCAGGCTTGTTCTTATAAATTTAACTAAATTTATTTGAAAACAAATATAAAATATGAATGTTTCATTTTTCATAGGTGAGTTGAAAGGGAAGAGATCAGATAGAATTTTTATTAACCTAATGTCATGTATTCCTTGTAAAAGAATGAGATTTCAAATTGGGAAGAGTTGTGGTACTTCCTTTCTATGACTATGTGAGCCAGTGTTCAATATTATCGTATATATTGGATTAAACTTTTGATTAAAAGGTTGTTTCCTTCAGCCACTAGCTTTCTTATATCTGTTTCCACTTCACAGTGTTGTCAGTACTTTAGTCTCTATTTATTCTTTATTGCAGTTGCAGGTGCCACAACTCCAATTCTTTGTTTTGCTTAGTGTGCAGGCATTTTCCATTTTTTTAGGATCAGACTTTGTGATCATTAATCAGACTATTTATCAAACTTTATTGGATCTTATGCCATTCACCTTGTACTCCTTGATTCTTTTGTATGCCATTGACTTTCTATAATTTTTTACCCTCAAGCCCATCGAACCTCCAGAAAAAATTAAATTATATATATATATATACTCTACTGATGACCACATTTGTTTTATTAAACTTCCACAGAGATTTGTGAATTAATAGAACAAGGATGAAGTTGCTCATTTTGTTAAAAATATCAAAATATGTTTGTAATTTCCACTTTTTCTTTCATTTTGGAACAGTATCTTTTAACATAACATAAGGTCCATCTATTGGTCCATCTCAGCTGTTCCATCCTCTAAACTAAATTTGAATTTTAAAAAATAATCTTAAAACCAGCCCTTATCATTCATTTATTTATCAAGCTTTTTCTTAATTCACTTAAATTTATTGCCTCTACAACATCTGAAGGCAACCCATTCCAAAGGCCAATACCCTGTTAGAAAAATGAAACTGCCTTAGCTGAAGGTGACTCCTATCCTGCCAAAATTTATATTTGTGTTCCGTAGTCCTACTATTCTCATTGTTAAATATGAAAAACGATGATGCATCAGCACTATCAATTCCATTTACAATCTTAAAACACCTCAATCAGATCTCCTCTAACTCATCTTTTTTCAAGAGAAAACAATTTGAGATATTTCAGCCTCTCCTCATATGACAACCCCTCCATCCCAGGCAAGAGTCTAGTAATCCTTCTATGTACCCTTTCCAACAATTCAACATCTTTCCTAAGGTAAGGAACCTAAGACTGAACACAATATTCCAAAATGTGGCCTAACTAGTGACCTGTACAATGAAATTATAACCTCTTTAGACTTGTATTTCTGTAGATATAACCTAAAATCCCATTTCCCCTACCACTAGCAACAGCACACTTCTTGGATGGCTTCAGAGACTGGTCGACTATTACACCAAGATCCTTTTCCTTCATAACACTGTTAAGGTTATTCGCATCTAAATTATACTTATAATTCAAATTATGATAACCCACATGCATTATCTTGCATTTATTGTAATTAAAACCCATCTGCCATTTATTTGCCTAACTCACTAAATCCTTTTGTAAATCAGCAGCATCCTCTTCACAGCTAGCAACACCGAAGACCTTGATATCATCAGCAAATTTAAGTAATTTATTGACTATTTCTTCATCTGTGTCATTGATGTAAATCAAAAAGAGCAAAGGTCCTAAGACTGAGCACTGAAGTACCCCACTTGTGACATTAATCTAGTTTGACTGGTGCATTCTGTTATTTTATGTAGTATGGAGAATGTTCCTTATTAACCACTTTCATTCTTTTCTAGTAAACAAACAGCTTGCTGATAAAGAAAGAGTTGCTGCTGCTTTAGAAAACCCATACCTACTAGAAGTTATCAACCAGTGTCTTCACTCCAAAAGCTGATGTGTTCAGTTTGATATGTAGATTTATATGAAGCATTAGTTTTTAGCCAACTGCTCATATGTATGCATGTAAATTTGTTTATTTCAGTATAATCTAAAAATCATTGGAAACAGAGAATGTAAATAAAAAAAATTATCTCTTGTGATTTATTCTAAGTAATAAATCCTTTTTATTTTACAGAAAGGTAAATCTTTTTTAAAATAACAACCTAGTTTTCTCAATAAACTGTTTCTTGAAAGACAAATATTATTTACTAACATAAGAGTAAATAAAATTGATTTTGTAATAAATACATAGATTCAAAAATATCCTGAGCTCAGCATTATTGTTATTTGTTGATTCAGAAGATTAGTATAAAGGCCAAGATTCCCAAGCAGTTGCAATATGTCTTTTCCCATCAATTTTATTTGATAATATCCCCAAATACAGCACATTTCAGGAGAGAATTGTATTAAGACAGAGAAAGGGGGTATAAACTAAAACTTGTATTTTTTAGAGAGATAGATGCTTAACACAGTATCATGTTAAGACTTCTTTGTGAGAAAGATGTATTCTGGTATACTAATTGTGACATTAAAATGCAAAGGATAGTCAGTTTCTACATAATTATAAATTTATTCACAATGACATATACTTTACAGGCAAATAAGACCTATTCATTGACACAGAATATGCAATATTATCCACTGCATGAATCAAAATGCTATTAATAGCAATTTTTTTAACATTTACATTTGTAAAGTTTTTAGGTTTATAGATCTATATTAAATGCATTATAAATATGTTTACTTTTGACTTTTGAAATACAAAGAAAGGCAAAATACTGGTATTGGTCTGTTTTAATCTGTGGGTGTTGTTGTAAGGTGTGGTTTTGCAAAGTTTCATTTGCACTGGTTGAAGTAAAATGAAAAAGTAGGCACAAATATACACTAATTTTGTGATTTTTCATTTACATTTGACCACATTTAAAACAAAAAACAACGAAAAAAAAAGCACAAATCCTAAATCTGTTTGCTTTATTATGAGGGGTTATCATAAAATATCTTTGTGCTAAGTCTTATTTGGATTAATGGAAATATAAGGTAACTGCAGACCAAAGTATGTGTTTTGTAATGTTTGACCTTTGACCCCTAAGATCGCAAGAAAGGACATGATTTCCAGATCTGCCTATTGGAACTATGGCATGGTATATTTATTTAAAGTCTTATCTAGATTAATCGAAATATAGAGAAATCGAAGGACAAGAAACATTATTCTACTAAATATGTTGATTTTTGATCTCTGCAAAACTGTAAGAAAGACAAATCTTACACCAGTCTGTGGGAGTTGTCATTAGATATAATTGTGCAAAGTTTCACCTGGATTGGTGGAAATATAAAAGAGTAGGCCAAAAACCCTAATTTTTTATTTTTATTTATTTTTTTACATTTGACCACGGTAAAATCAAAAGGCACAAATCCTAGGTTTGTCTGTGGAGGCCAAAGTATGTTTTTCTAACATTAGGTCTTTAACCCCGAATATCACCAAGAAAGGCACACATTCCAAATCTGTCTATTACAGTCCATGGGGGTGAAGGGGGGGGTGCAGATGGTTAGGGTGCTTGACTCGTAACCCATAGGTTGCAGGTTCGAGTCTCCGTCCCACCAAACATGCTCATCCTTTCAGCTGTGGGAGCATTATAATGTGATGGTCAATCCCATTATTCGTTGGTAAAAGAGTAGCCCAAGAGTTGGCGGTGGGTGGTGATGACTAGCTGCCTTCCCTCTAGTCTTACACTGCTAAATTAGAGACGGCTAGCGCAGATAGCCCTCGTGTAGCTTTGCGCAAAATTCAAAATAAACAAACTTTCAACATAACTATTTGAAAAGTTTTTTGGTGTGCAAAACTTGAAGATAGCTTTTATACGCGGAAACATCTGTTAGCCGAGTTCTTGCACAGATCTGAAAATATAACGTTGATAAACGGAAACATTGGCACATGTAGATCTTGAAAGTCGAGCTGTTCAAAACTTGAGAATTGCGTTGCTAACTGGACCAATTGTTGGTTGAGATGTTGCATAAGGAAATATCTCATAGGACTTTGATTTTCAGATAAGTATGTTTGATAGGTTTTGAAATTGATTTTCATTCCTTCAAATCCAAATAAACCATTTTTCATTTGCACTTATGTTCTGATTTAACATGATGTGGCATCTTTTAAGTTGTTTGTGGATGTTATGTATATTCTGGACTTAAATCTTGTGAAGTCTTCCATAATATATTTTCTAATTCTATACTGGAAAAGGCTGCATCTTATCCTGTGTTAGATGCTCTTTTCTCCAGTGTTTCTTTACCACACCTCCGTGGGTTGGCAGTCTGTCACAGCCACCTTGTCAATCTGTAGAATTTTACGAGAATAAACAAATAAAAACTGACAGAATATTCATATGTTTTTCATCATGGTTCGTCATTGTACTTGTATTTTAGTGGTCTGTGTCAGTTTAGAGAGACAACAAGTCAATCCCCTGTATCAAAATGGTTGAAAAATGCTGCTCTACTCCATACAACTTATGCTTGAACAGTTTAAGGTCTGATTTTTGTTGCAAACATTATAAAACAAAAGGATATATGCATACCTTCTGTCCTGTTATTCTTCCTCTTTATAAGGCTTTTTATGGTCTCCTAGGTGTCAATTCTTATCTGAAGTATGACCTTTCTAAAGGAGTTTCTTAAATTGAGTTGACACTGTGGTACGGGAATTACACATTTTCCTTCATATGTCTCCTAAGAGTGTAATGTTCTTTCTCAATTATTCAGAATGTTTTCAATGGGAAGTGGATGAAATAAGAATCCTATTACCAATTATGTACTTTTGAAATGGATGAGGGTCATTCTTTATTAAGCCCTCACACTCATTGCATCTTATTCATTACTGGATCTTCTCAAATCCTAGCTTCTTTCATTATTCATGGACTTCTTTAATTTTCTGGTTCAGTCTGTTGTGCAATATATGTATCTATTTTCTTATGCACAATTGTTCAATGAAATATTAAGTACTCGTATTAGTTTTGTGGTTATCTACATTGAAGGAATTTTTTTACTAGAATGTTTTCAATTTCTTATGACGTCATAGTTGCCTTGTTGGGTTACCACTCCCCCCCCCCCATCCTTTGATTTCTGGCTTCTTGCTAGAAGCTCTTGGAAGTTGTGCTTAGCCTGATTATCAGCAACATTCCTTTAAAGTCTTGCTTGTTTGGTCAATTAACTATGGCTCCATTTTAACGGATACTGAATTAAGCAATTCTTCCATCTCTGTTGTTTGTGTGTCTGTTTTTTTCTTCAATCCCATAACTTCTTCCAGGTGTAGCCACCTCATTTGTTCAGCATTGGCAAGGGGTTTGATATTCTCAGTGAACTACTCGATGTGACCTTTATATGATTGTATTTGATCTTAAGTGCATTGAGTGACCACCATCATGATTCATTTAGACTTTTCTCTATTATAACATGTCTGATTTGTGACCCCTCCTGTTCCTCAGAACCCAAAATAGATTCAGTGTCTTGTCAACTCTACTGCTTATTGACAGTCCCCTAGAAGATGGTGATTTGTAAATGACCCTTTAAGTTTCGACTACAATATATAGCATCCTCACTTTAAGATGGCTGGTGTTTTCTTCAGTTTTCAATAAAGTTTGTAAATTACCAGCTTGGATGTTCTGATTTATCCCACCTCCCTTACTTATTTTTTTGTTTCTGTGTAGACTGGCATTGTTTTACTGGTATTTCTATTTAATCTGGAATTAGTACCCCATGTGTTTGAAAAGGGACTTCTTTTGTAGGATCATAGTATTTCATGTCAGAGTAATGGGTCTATAGATAATTTACAATGATGTTTACGTTACTGTGTATAATCAATGTAATATCTATGTTGAGTAATGTTAAAATAAAAATTCGTTTGAGTGTCTGCCACAACAGAGTAATTTGTGCAATACGTAATAGTCCCTTGGAGATATATATATATATATTTTTTTTTTCCAGTAAAAAGCCCCCCCCCCCCCCCCCAATGTTCAGATAGCATTTTGTCTGTGACTTTGTTTAAATGAAAATCTTATGATTCTCATTAACACTTTTGTTAACTTATATTTATTGGGTGAAGACAAAATTTCACCATACATAGATAGATAACGCTATCGGTGATTTTCCACGCACACGTAGAAATGAAGGAGTAGATAAATATTCCCAATATATCCATTGACTAATATTTTAAATACTGCTATTGTCCGATATAACTGCCAAAGTCCAACCTACTTGAAAGAAGAAACTATCTATAGAAACGTTTTTCGCTTTTCATAATTTCTGGCCTAATCTCTGAAGATAAATTAGCTGGAAACAGTAATTTGCTTATGTTTAAAATGATCCTATTAAAACAATTGGAGAGAGAAATTATTTTATGTGTTATACCGTTAAGTTCAATGCAGTTAATGGATAATCGAGAACACACACACATATACAGATAAAGATTTGATTTGCGATTCAGTGATAAACTTCGTACTATTTAAGTAAGTATTGAAACATAATGGCTGAATATAGCGTCAACAATCACTGAATCAGGGTACCCAACTTGTGATTAAATGCATTTTAGTTATTACAGGTTTTAAGTTTTGTGGTTTACTGATTTATGACGTTAAATACTTTCAACTTTATTCATTAATTTTACATCAATATAGAAATAAACACTTGACTAACATAGAAACTAAAGCTGATTCATCAATGTTTGTAGCATAATGTTGATATGACCACCGTGCTATTTAGACCTATTCTAAAACAATACCACTTGAAGTACATGTAAGTAACTAAATTCACCCTTTAGGGTTGCAATGTCAGGGACAGCTACCCTAGAATAAAACTTCTTGACTAATACAATATACCCGACCGCTCGACCTCAAGTCTAGATAGAATTAAAGACAAATGAAGAAGAAGATAAAGTAACAGAATTAGAATTAGTAAAATCAGATGGAAAGAACGCATTATTTTTTATTGTACAGTAACTAAATGAATGGTGCCAGGGCCAGGACGGTAACTATTTGTAAACAAATCACGGCGTCAGTTCTTAGCTTACACACTAACTCCGTATTTTTGAATTTGAATCAGTGATTCAATAAATAACTAATATAATAAACGCACTGGATCAGATTTATCTAAAGTCAACATTAAAACTACAACTTTCTGATAATTATCATAATACAGCAACCCTAAACACATTTAAATTTACTACATCGTTTAGACACTGTTAAAGAGTATAGCCTACGATTATAATTCTAATATTATAATTATGGGGATGGCGGATATTTTCATGGTGATATTTTATGTTTAAAGAATAAATCGAACAAAAGTAATTTTGCATTTTATGAATGATTTTTAAAAACACACTGAAGGTAGAAATAATTTGAAAAGGTAGATTTATATGTAGAAAATATAACAGTTGGGGCAATATTTCGTCTGAAAATTATTTAAAGGGGAAATGTTAAAGACATCAGACAATTATAGTCTTGAAAAAATTAATGGTTATTTACACAAAAACCTTATATTCATAAATAGATATCCCAAATTTGTATTAAATTGTTAACAGTGATTTTAAATGAAAAAGGCTATGGTTTCCAAAGTAAGATAATGCTGAGTATTTTCGTTTTGATTAAGTATATTTTATTACAAGTTACAGCTTTTACAGTAAGTACCTGGAATAGGTATGACGTTTCTATCACTGGTGCGGATCAGTCTCAAGTACACAAGTTTTAACTTGTAATAAAATGTTGAATATTGTTCAACAGAAGAGATGGACTTTTTTCAGTCATAAACTTACAAAAACAATATTGGAATATATATTGTTACGTCTCCGTTTGTTAATTGATTTTCTGTAACTTCGTTCCGACGAAACTTAAGCGACACAAGTTCTTTACTTAATAAAACTGGTTTATTCTTTCCGAATACAACTTTACCGATACACTTATTCTCAACAGTCGCGTTATAACAAACTATAATAACGAACGAACGTTAACTACAACAATACGTCTCTCTCTGACTGCAGTTCGATTACTCACTCACCATACACACATTACATTCCCCTCTTTTATATACCAGCGTACCCTATTTCTAGTAAGAACTTGAACATTCGCCAAAGTACATGATAGTTCTAGAAACGTTACGTCACGGTGGTCACGTGACTCGCTGACGCAACACTGTCCCCCTCTTTAATATTGTTCGTCCCGAACAATAACCACATATAGAAGATACGTCCCGTAAAATTAAGAGACTTTGTTGAATTGTAATTTTGTGTTTGTAATTCTGTACATTTTAATTAAGTTATTGTTATTGGTTTATTTCCGTACTGGTCTCCGTCTTGTTGGCTTCTGCTTCAGTGGGGTTCATCTGCTTCATCCAGGAAATGTCCTATCATCGGTAACAGTCACATTAGTGGTTGTATCTTCATCAAGAGCTTCACCTTTCCCTTCTCAAAACTGAGTAGAGTTTCTTCTTCGACGGTGGCTTCTTCAGGT